TTTCTGACGTTTTTTGTTAGTCGGTTAACGCACTTTTAGTGATTTTCAACATAACCTTTGTATGGGAGGTGGGCGTGGTTATTATCTGATTTCTTGCATTTTTGAACTGTATATGGATTGCCTAAAAGAAACGACTGCATACAGTTTGATTGACATAGCTATAGTAGTTTTCAAGATATGTAGAAAAAAGTTAGTAGGGAGCGGGGCCACGCCCACTTTTCCAAAAAAATTACGTCCAAATATGCCCCTTCCTAAAGCGATCCTTTGTGCCAAATTTCATTTTAATATCTTTATTTATGGCTTAGTTATGCCATTGTGGGCGTGGCAGTGGGCCGATTTTGCCAATCCTCGAACCTAACCTTCTTATGGAGCCAAGAAATACGTGTACCAAGTTTCATCATGATATCTCAATTTTTATTCAAGTTACAGCTTGCACGGACGGACGGACAGACAGACATCTGGATTTCAACTCTATCGTCACCCTGGTATATATAACCCTATAACCCTATATCTGACTCTTTTAGTTTTAGGTTTTTGTTGCGAGAGTATAAAAACACAATACCATTTCATCTTGAGCACAGAAGTTCTCAAGCTACGTTTGAAATTAATGAAATACTACAATTCCAGTTATATATATACCCACTTTTAAAAAAGACCCTGCGAGAAATTACTGAGGAAACAAGATTAACTAACATACATACATATATTTATACATATAGAAATCTTTATACTATATAAAAATTACGTGTCACGTTGTTTGTTCGCAATGGACTCCTAAACTACTGAACCACTTTTAGTAAAATTAGCACACTTCATACAGTTCTAACCAACTTAGAAGATATGATAGTGAAAACCATTCACAAACCAAAAATAAAGTTAAATCTCTATTAAATCGATGCTCTATTAAGCGGACAACGCTATTAACTGGACAGACAGAGAAGGCAGCCTTAAATTCCGAAAAAATTTCGATTAAAAGATTGAGCCACTATAACATATAGTTGCCATACAAACTAATCGATTAAAATGCAGCATTTGAATGAAATATTTTTGTATTTCAAAAGGTTCTTTCACCAAATTCTTCATACACTATTATTACAAGCAATGCTATAATCTCCGTAAAAAACTTTCAGATCGGACCACTATAGCTACCATACGAGCTGATCGATCTAAACTATAATTATATTATATTAAATTTTTTTAAAAGGTAGCTTCAGGAAATTGCGCATACAATGTGGTCCTAAGAATAGGTGAACCGAACAAAATTCTTGTATATAAGCATTTTTATCTGTGAGCGTATTATAGCTTCGGCGAAGTTAACTATTTTCTTGTCTTTTACAGTATTTGTGAAGAGATATGATTTATTGGAACTATATATTAATTTGAAAGTGTTTCTTCAAAAAATTGATGATTTTCCATTAATGGGAGCAATATTTTGAATGAAAGAATTCAATATACCCATATTCCATATAATTACCTATTACTAAATTCTATTCATCGCCGTATTGTTTACCTTTTAGCATACTTTATTCGAGTTCTAATGTGTATGTATTTTTATAGTGAATTGGATTCCTTGTTATTATGAATATAAATCAAATACGTAAGAAAAGATTAAACCAATTTTTGAGACGAGAATTGGTATTGACATTTTAAAATTAAGAAGACTAATTCTAAATAAAAGTAATTTTCGCACTATATGCATTTTTTCCTGTTGGGTGAATGGACAAGTTTCAAACAACCCGAATAGAGATAAGAAAAAACAAGAGCTTAATAATTTACATTTAACCCAAGCGAGAGAGACATTTTTGGTTTGCTTCTTTCAATTATTGATAAGAGAGCAGCCTCGTTTAATGAGAGAAATTCTGAGGCTAGTGGATAATTGTAGCAAACAACACAAAAGTTCACACTACTCAAACCTAATATGCTGAGTGTTTACATGTACATTATATGTATATACACACTTTTGTATATACACACATAAATATTTTAAACAGAATGTACGTGGTTTATGCGAAAAAGCTGAGTATAAACTAGAACAGAAAATGTATCATTATGATTACATAGATAAACAAAATTTCATAAATTAAGGATAAAGGTGTGAAAAATCATGTTCAAGGGGTTTCATTAAGATATCTTACATACCATCACCATGGCGCAAGGTCAAAAAACTGATAATAGTTATTTGGAGGCTACCTGAAGTTTTATGTTATGTTTTATACAGTTATAAGTAAAACATGTTCTATAATTTTCTTGGTAATAACTCAAATATTGGCCGATATATCCAGTATAAAGTCACCTGGATGTTCTAGAATCTTTATATTAGGTATATGGAAGCTCAGGGAAATATCGACCCGTATTTAGTTATTGATTTATTGTGCTTTCAGTAGTTTTAAATAGTACCGTTATATGAAGAGGGAGCGGGGTGATTTTCCGATATCTTATTCTCTTCTTATAATATATGATCCAAGCAAATTCGGTTGCTGTAGCACTAATAGTTTAGGAGATATGTACAATAAATTTATTAGAGGGCGTGAGCACGTCTCATTTCAAATCCCCTATACCAAATTACAGTTTCATATCTTAATTTAGTGCTTAGTTATGACACTTTATAGGTTTTTGGTTAATTGCGATTTGTGGGCGTGGCTCCGCCCATATTCGAACTCGTATTTTTTTTTTTTTTTACAAAGAAAGCCGCATACCAAGTTTCATCAAGATATTTAAATTTTTACTCAAGTTACAAGAGACAAACGGTCACCCGATTTTCAACTTTTCCCGTCATCCTGATCATTTATTTATTTATTTCTCAATCATATTATGATAGAAATGAGGTACTGATATCATGCCATCGGACGTTTTCGGACGTATTCCTATATTTTAAGTATCATTACCGGACGTGGCGTTTTCTGAAATAGAGGAATCATCTAAAATCTTTCATATATCTTATAATCTCAAAGATTTTCTAATTGACATTGTACCTTCTAAACTAATCGAAACAAAACGAAATCGAAATAGAACCGACCGCGCGTATAAAGTATGTTGAACTAACTAAGCTACGTTTAATTCAAAGCCAATGGAAACTTGAAAAAAATTCATTTATATTTTGATGTGGTACAACTTTTAAAATATCATCAGATTAACGAAACCTATTTTTTTGCAAAGAAGTTCAACCGAAAATTAATCATTACGAAAGTTCGTTATACTGAACGAGCTTTGGTGCAATCTCTTATTAGTATCCAACAAGTAAAAAAATCATTTAAAAATTGGTTAGGTCTTAGTCCATGTCTTGTAAGAAATTTTTTGTATTTGTGAGAGTATTATAGCTTCGGTGCTACCGAAGTTAATGTTTTTTCTTGTTTTATGCTAAATATGCTTTGCATAAATCAGACATTTATCATCTAATTCTTAGAATGTTTGCTACATTTGTTATCTATATATAATATGTGCATTGGTCTTTTTTTTTTTTGTTTTTGAACTATTAATTTTTTTCTATCCCGTCATGAAATTTCCTTGGAAATACCCTAAAAAAATGCCCTGAAAATTTGAGCCCTTAATATTAACATTAAGACTGGACCAAGGCACGCAAAAATTTTCCGTTGAAAATACACGAAAATCGTGATTTTTTATTTTTAAATTTCTATAGCTCAGATACATTTTATGTATCTTTAGGGTATTTCCAAGGTAATTTCATGACGGGATTGAAAAAAAATTAATAGCTCAAAAAAAAAAAGCACCCTAATGTATCTGTTTGTTAACTGCTAAACTGGTGATGTGCGAAAAATTATGTCGTAATAAAATGTGCATATTTTCAATAGATAAAACGGTCAATGCTTAACTTGCAATTATTATGCAACATTCGGCTCGAGCGAAATCTTCAAAACCAAGGAAAACTAGTAACAAAACCGATACCCTTATGTGTATAATCACGAACATATAAAAGTACAAGGTTCAAAAACCAATTAAAATGTAATATAATATTAAACAAATTATAAAGGAGTTCAACTTTTCTAATGTCGTCGATATTACAGCGGCAATTAACATTGGAAAAGTTGATAAAAGCACCTGTGCATACATGTGCCGCTCTTTTTCCAACGCTTTCACCGATTTTACTTAACGAACCTGACACAAATAAAACAACCACGCAGTCGCAGTCAGCTGTAGATTCCTTAGAACGATTGTGTGCTGACCCAATGGCTATGGCCGCCGCACATACGTTATTAGTTGCATCCACCGACTATAATATGCCTGCGACTGATAGTATCAAAAACCATAGCAATGATAAAAACAGTAATTCAAGTATTAACGTACTAAACCAGCAAAACAAATGCTCTGTTAGTAATAATGTTGACCAAGTTATCCCTGCATGTGTAACGCTAAATTCTTACCCGTCGGTCCATGTTCTACCAATTTTAGTAGATATGCACTCTTCTCATGATGACAGCTTAAAACTAGCTGCATCACCGGTGCAGTCTTTTTCAGAAGACATAGCCGATATTGAGCACATGTATGCATGCAATAGAGATCGTACAACTAAGCAGATTGTCGATGAAAAGCTACGCAGTTCATCGGATTTGAGTGGGTCTTCTGGCCACGAAGCCAATACTCATCAATTGCTAACTAGTCACACTCGTTCATATTTTGAGCATGACTTTGAACAGCAAGTAACACCCGTTGTACTTATTCCTCAAGATAATCACCCCCAGCAACAGCAAAAATATTCGCAAACTCAAGAAACTCAAGCCAACAATGAAGTCATAAACGGTAAAGAAATTGATATTACAAATAAAGAGCACCAGACGGTAAATAGTAAACATAAAGGTGGGAGAGATTCATCTTTTAATATTACCGCGTTTAGCAATAATAGTGGTGCCAATCCAAATAGAGGTATATGTGGTATACCGGGAGAAACTAATGTCGTCGAAGCTGACACGCGAAGAAATATTTCGGTCCTTGATGTGCTGCTTAACGACGAGCAATCGAAGAATATGTTTAAACATTTGTCACCACCTAAGATGGGTCTAGCGCAAGCAAGTACACACGTTTTAGCCGTGCAGAAAAATATTGGTTCAAATGCGGTTGATGTTGGGCAAGAAAATTTTCTACCACCTAACGATTGTAGGATTCCCGTCGGCAGTTCTACTCTTTTATATGAAAAAGAGAGCCAGCTCCTAACTAAACTCTTTGCTACAGATCTTGTTATACCAAAATGTTATACACCAACAAGTGCGGTAAGCTCCCTTCATGTGGATGCCGAAGATATTGGCGGCCCCAATAAATCAAGCAACCGTTCGCAGCGTGATAACGATATGTTAGATAATGCAAAAGAAAAGCATGATGTTGACTTAAGTATGCAAAGTGCGCGCTCTACTCTACCCTCCACCGAGGCCACAAAACAGTTAAACGTACCTCCCGCGGCACTTAATTTGATAACAGAAATACTTTTGCTCCAACAAGACTATCAGCACAAACAGCAATCAGAACTACTAACATCGGCTGCAAATAATGTTAATATTGCAAATGCTTTACGAAAGGATCAACAGCACATGAATAAGTTGTCGACAGCATCTCCACTGTCAGCACCTTTGGCGCTCCCATTTCCTTTCCAATTACCGCTTCCTTTGCCGTTGTCCCTTCCTCTGCCGCTGCCGTTACCACTGTCAATGCCTCCCATACCAATTCTTGATAATGCTAAAAATAATAACAGTAGCAATTCGATATCGAAACAGTATAATTTCGAAGAGCCGGCGTTTCTAACAGGCGATTCAACTGACGAATTTAAAGATCAGATTTATTTGAAATCTAAGCACGAACCAGCAACACACCACGAGCACCAGCAAAAATCAACGGCATCTTCACAGCAACAGCAAGAAGCTTCGAACCATTTTTTAACTACACAATTTCTGTATTCGCGTCTGTTACCCGCACTAGCCGATAATTTGAGGGAACGGGATCTACATATGATAGAATGCGCGCCCAGTATTTCGATGCTACACACTCTTGCAAGCAGTACACTACCTTCCGAAAATGTTAATAATAACAATCGAAACAATTTGCCAAACGACAATAGTCAAAACATTGATACCAACTCAGCGTTTAATACCGTAACCCTCTCTCCAAAACAAAGCAACACGCAATACACGAGTATACCCAATTTACCCACCGACATCAGCAGGACTGACAGGTTTAGTTCCTTTATGACAAACAAAAATGCAACTAGTACAAATCTGAGCGGTACTGAGCTTTTATCTGCACAAGAGGCGGCGCTTACGCAAGCCCAAATACAACTTGATAAGTATTTAGGGCTTAGCAATCAGTTTATTGAGCTGACACAAAACAATTTAACAATATCTGACAAAGTTACTGCGCACATTGTACCACGCGTGTGGGAGAATATGCAGCAATCTAAACAATTAATTCATTCAACACAGACGCAGTTGAGTTTACTTAGGCGACAATGCGCTAGCGCAAAGTTTTACTACGAGCGAACGATGCGTCGGCTGTACTCAAGCGATTCTAAGTATCTGTCACAGTTACAAGCGCGTAAAAAATCCTCCGCATATTCATCGTCGTGGTGTCCGAATAGTATTTTAACTCGGGCAGCAGTAATTGCAGCAATGGCGGTTGCGTCGGAATTACAGCCACTGCCGACAAACACTTTTGTTAAAACGGAGAGTTCTATTAGTGATAAAAGTGAAATAACCGATAAAGAATGTGAGCGTGCTTTAGATAAAAAACAGACATTGTTAGAAATAGAGACTGTTATTGAGCGTTATATTAAGACGGTATGCAAAAATAGTGAACATGCAGACGCAGTTGCTAATGAGATTAGCGGCAGTGACTTCGAACCGAGATCTAATGATAATTATGACAACACAAGAACTCCTGCTTATAGTTCTCCAGGAATAGCTAATAATAATGATGGAGAATATGAATTTGAATGCAATGCGAATGTAAAGCGTGGTAATAAAACATCATCACCCTTCACGGTTGGCAGCAATGCAAACTGGCGACTGTTTGAGGCATCGTCTCCTATCTGCTTTTGGCATCCAGATAATCGAGGGCTGAGCGTAAATGAAAGCGTGCTTTCTGCTTCCGAAATTATACTGGAATGTGCAGCATTAAGTGTTCAAGCGCATATGCAAGACTCTTCTATTGTAGTGGCTGGTGAAAGAACATCTACCACCTCACACGAATGTGAACCTGGTGGAATAACTGAAAATTCTGAGCACACGACTATGGACGGTGAAACATTTCAAGGCTTACTCCTAAGAAGAGTTGTAAACACGCGATCAGGTTCCTACAATGGCGATCATGACACTGAAGTAATAAAGAATGCAAATAATGAAAAAAAAGAAATACAACAATCTCTTTCAAGTGCGCCAATGGCCGTGAATGCCACAAACTCTCCTAACATCCTGACACCAACGTCCACGCCAACTACTACACCGACGCCGCCCAACATAAGTGCTGCTATTGTTGGAAAAAATTATCGCAAATCAAATTATGCTCATCACCTCGAACCATCAATCAGCCCTGCATCTACAACTACAAACTTAGTTCATAAAAAGGCTTTATTTTATGAACAATCGAATTCTCAAACGCCTAGACAACGTTACAGAAGCAATAATAGCGGCGATATTGCTAACAATAATACTAACGATATCAACATGGAAAACAAAATTGAACCAAGTAAAAAACTTGAGACTCTGCAAGTTATTCAGGCAACGTCGGAATCATCGGTTTCACCTTCAGTGGCAGTAAATATTGGGCATAACAAAAAAAATCTGGAACACCAACAACAGTATACGCTTCTTCAGCCACAGCAGCAGCAGGCAGCGTTCAATGGTTGCAGTAGCAGCAGCACTGGCGGTAGAGGCAGCGGTTGTTTATATGGTCTAAATGGTCCATCATCTAATACTAATAGCGAAACAACTACAGCAGCAGTGGCGGCATTGCAGGAACGCGCTTTAACCAATATTTTTAAGGCACGTTTTAACGCACTAAAGGCTGCAGCTGTAATGAATGCTACAGTGGGTATTTCGGCGGCTGCTGCCGCTGCATCCGTAATAGATGGACCGTATGATTTAAGCATCAGCAGAAAAGCTAAGCAAACGTAATGGTTTCCTTATTTACTACTATTATTAATAACAAAATATAAATAATTTTTAATTTTTAATTTGTATAAGATCAGTTTTTACTTGGAGCTCGTTATTCAAATTCGACGGTTAAGTAAAGCAAACACGTTTCTGGCTACATCAGTTGCCGCCCCTTATTTGTACACTAATTTTAATATCAAATACCAGACTAAAAAAAAATGTATCCTTACTAGGGGATTAAAAAAATGTTCCCACAAACCGTACTAAAAATTCTCATAATTTCTAATTTTTAACCTCAAATACGGGGTTAAAAAAATTAACCCCAAATACGAGATTAAAAGATAATTCGCTTTTAATTTCTTTTATTTCTAATATTTAATCCCAAATAATAGATTTAAAAATAGTATAATTAAATAAAAATATATAAAACTTAAAATTTTTATTTCCGAACATCTTGGCTTAGAAAATATTCATCATTAATCAGATCATTCGATTTTTAAATTTTATTCCATCTTTTTTTTTTAAATAAAATTTTAATTTTGTAATTTCAATGCTTGAGCTAAAAATTTGTATTTAAATTTTTAATTCAAAATTTTTGAAATATAAATTTGCAACTCTGTTTACACATTTGATCACGCAATTTCATCTAATTTAAGAATACTCAACTAAAATTAGTTAAAACTAGACTTGATCAGAATAGTTTATGACATTCAATTATTAATTTACATTCAGATGCATTTGGTAAGCACTGTATTTGTCGGAAATCCAGCCTCAACGCTTCGAGTAGGTTAATTAGCTCAGCATTTCTTTATTCTTACGTTAGTTTGATTTTATTTACATAAACTTGTATACATCCAATTGCCGACTATTAATTATTTGTTCGTTTATGGTTGCAAATGTGAATTGCACTTTTTATTTACAGAAACTTGGATAGTAAAATATCAACGGCTAATCCACAAGGAAATGAGTGCAAAGACAATTCGAATGAGAAGAAGAAACCGCATATAAAAAAGCCACTGAATGCGTTCATGCTCTACATGAAAGAGATGCGAGCCAAAGTTGTTGCCGAGTGCACTTTGAAAGAATCGGCTGCGATTAATCAAATACTTGGTAGAAGGGTAAGCCGGATAAGTACCAAACGAACCTTTATAAATAATATATGTAATACTTTCCAGTACATAATTTGTAGTATAATAAAACAAACAAAATAAATGGTGCAAAAGATACTTAAATAACGATAGAGCCGCCATATAACATGAATATTGACTAAGAATGAGAGAAATAAGAAATAATTAAGCTCTGTTGACATGAATTTCACTGCCCGTTGCTTAAATAATAACATATTTAACAATTCATTTCGTAAAAAAACTCTTAAATATCTCTTAATAATGGGAATTTCTAACCATTTTCCTATAACTTCAACAACGGGGCCTGAAAAAAAAATCTTTTAATCAAGGGAAATACCCACTCGTAAATAAACACAGTGTCGATATGCCATTTAATTTTATTTGCAGTGGTCCCGCTAATACAGGGTTTTCTTGTAAGGTGATATGATTTCTTAAAAAATGCACTAATTGTTAAAGAAATCAAATGTACAATATTGACTTTTAAAGCTTTAAGAAAGTCTAGTTTATTACTAAAGACCAATGACTTCAAATAACCCCACAATAAGTAGTCAAATGATCTTAAATCACAATTTCTTGAAATAACCCAAACTTTTCTCGCAATAATTCGGTTGTTGCACGTGCTGTGTAGCAGAACCAGATGTTGTCAAGATCAACTTCTTCCAACTGCGGACATAAAAATTTCATCATCGATTTATACATTGATATTGACGGTGTTACCAAATTCATTTGGAATGAAGTACCGACCATTTAGGTGAATGCAATGGTTGTTCATGAATAACTTTTAGATTTGCTACGCACCAGTTTTGTTTATTTACCGCACCACTCATATGAAAGTGAACCTCATCGGAGAAGATGATTTTCTTAAAAAAGCGTAATCGTTTTCAAGTTGCTACAAGGAAAAAACAACAAATTCACCACGTTTACAATGGTCCACTGGTTCAGCTCTTGAGTAGGAACAATACAGATACAAACGAAACGATACTTAGAAATCATATCATCCCTATCGTACAACCCGGTATGTACTCGTGCTGCATACTTCTGGTGGTTACACCAGCGCAGTATTTGCGGCATCACCGAGTAAGTTCAAGGTTTGCATTTAGTGTGATAATTCAGACACACTCTGCTGGTTGACAGAAAAATCGATTTCCTTTGTCGGGATTTTCTGTCTTATTTGTTTGTAAAACAATACCTACTGTAGATCACACATATTCAATATGGCACTAGAAAACGTATAGCATTCAATACAAAACTTATGTCAATTTCTTGTAATTTTCATATGATGCAAGTACCGCCATTCCATTCGATGTATCGACGTTTACGTTGTGCAACAATATATGTACATACGCATGAGCTTGATTGATTATTGAATTAATGGCAATGGCAACGCAAAATTAATACACAATGCGGTTATAGGATAGAAATAGACACAATTCCTTAAATACTTCAATTTTCACAATAGTTGTTATTAATATTCTTTACGACTTTTCTTGAGGAAGCGTGAAACTGAAATTTATTTTGATCGATAAGAATTACTTCTAGGAATCGTGAAAGATAGATCAATCTTTTTACATTTTCTAATAAATACTAGACTGAGCGCTCTTAATTACCTAATTTAGTAATAATCTGCAATTTAATTTTAAGCGTTTTTTCTTGTTGTACAAAATTCGTTTAAAAGTATATTCAAATATAATGTCCTAGTATACTTTTAAACTCTCCTCAGCTGAATTCAACTTCAGATCAACTAAACTCGTTTTTGGTATTACGAACTTCATTGGTGTTGCCAACATAGAAACTGAAGATTTGACAGATAATTATAGCCCTGACAGACGACAGCGCTAATATGCATTAGTGGGCTTAATTTACATTTACTTGCGTATTTGACATGTTAATGCAACTTTGTAATGCACAAGAATTTCGTGCATTTAGCTGCATTTACCAAACTTGAGTAGGCAACACTGCTCAAAAATGGCAGATTTTTTGCTATTTTTTGACAGATGTCGCTGGAAGTCTGCTGCCTCCTTTGCGTTTACAGCATCAGAATCAGCAGTTTTATATATTGCTAATTAAATTATGTGCAAGTACATATACATATTAACAAAAACAAATTTGAATAGCTTTAGATGGCAGAAAATAAACAACGCACAGTTTGCTATCCATTTTTCCAAGATTCTTAACCTTTTCGCACACTATTTTCAAAGTACAATCAATTATTGCTTTTAATTTCACTCTATTAACTTTGAACGTAGTTAATAATAAACGAATTTTTTCATTAAATTTGTATACCAAAATTATTATTAATAATTTATTTTATTCATGTTTATTTCCCTTTTTTTTAATAAATAAACAAATTTCACAATCAGCTGTCTAAATGCACATGTCTGCCGTCTGTCACCATAAAAAATGCGCATTAGCGTTGTTTAAGGCGCATTAAGGGGTTAGGGGTAGTCAGAGGCACGAAAACATGGCGAGCTTTCAGTAATTTTTTTTTGGCATTAAGTCGTGTTATTTTACAAAAGTAGTAATATGGCATTATTATAGAATGTGTTGAAATAAAAATCCTTCGATCAGATCCGAGTTTATTATGTATTCTAAAAGCTGTATAAATTTCATTAAAATTTACTGAGCGGTTTTCGAGTTGCCGTTGTCACCAGTTCAGAAAACATAGTTCTAAGAAAAACGCGTTTAAAATTTCACACTAGCGCTTTGAAGTCACCGAGCTCTCTTTGTTATTTGTCGAATAATTCAAAAATTAATTATTGGGTCAACGTGAAATTTTCAGAGAATATTTTTAAAAATTATTTTTTTGAAAATTCTGACTACCCCTCACCCCTTAATTTCGCTCGTCTGTCAGGGCTATTAAATAGCTCAAATTTTTTAAATGACACTGCAAACGAAACATTTTTTGACGCATGAAGTTGATATAAATTATACCGAATTTCATTATAGAACTTATTTATGGCAAGTATAAGTATTTTAAATTATTAACCAAATACTTCAGCCTACTGAAATACCATGAAAAACTGTTTTTTGATACACAAAGATATGTGTGTAAATGTGTTTAATATAATTTTTGCTTTTGCTCAGTATGAGCGAAGTATGTTGTTGGAAAGTCAGTAAAATAGACGTTTTGTTTTGCAACTTTGTTTTTTCTTTTATATTTATTGAAATCTTTTTAATAAACTTTAATCAGAAAATATATTTTGTGAAAATAAACTGAAAAAATTGAATTAAAGAAAAAGCGAAGGAATTTTCATATGCTGTAAGAAAATATCCCACTACTTTAAACAGTCTGCAACTAATAATAATAATAAAAGATTAGAAATCCAAATAAGTAATTATGCGGATGGTACTTACCTAAGTTTGAAGAAAAAGGAAACACTTTGTAGCATACAAAACGCGAATGTAAATGCGTACACTCCCTTTAGCACATTCCCTCACACAAATATGAACATATACAAATATACTTGGAAATGATGTGTGTGTGTGTCGACGTACACATATAGCTTTTTTCGTTTAAATCAAGAATTGCATTCGTTGTTTTTTTTTTATTTTCAAAATTCCACAAGCAAATAAATTAATATATCAAAATTGAAACGATTCTTTTGTTTTCGTTTTTTGCTTTTATTTTCTGTTCCAAAATGTATTCGTCGAAATTTGGCTTTGGTTGGATCCACACATATATCACATCTAACACCATGAAAAACCAAAATAATTACAACGATCTATCGCATTATTACGTACGACGCATCAATACTACCAACATACTCTCACAATTCTGTAACAATAGTGGCATGAACTTAGCCGTGAAGAGCAAAGTAAATATTACGAAAAGGCGCGACAAGAGCGCCAATTACATATGGAATTATATCCAGGGTGGAGCGCACGGGACAACTACGGCTATGTTTCGAAAAAGAAAAAGCGTAAAAAAGACCGTTCACCCGCGGATTCGGGAGGTATTAAAATAAAAATTAAATTTTATTTTTCGAAACAAACAAAGTATATTGTAAAAGTAATATATAAGAACATACATACTATATACATTTTTCATTTGCAATTACTGCACTAATTTTACTTGTTTACTTGCACTCAGAATATTTACATATTTGATAACTTACGAAGTATTAACACATTTTTTTAGAGTTTTTATTTTATTTATTTAGTCTATAATTTAGCAAGTACATTTCACATATATATTTTTTTAATTTTACTATATGCTACAGCTATGTTAGTAGTAGTTATTTATTTACTTCAAGTATAATGGTCTTACGCATACGCTCTGTGCTGCCATATGCTGTTGTATAACGCTTAGGCTATCTAACGCAGACAGTTGTGGAATAATAGACTTTCACCGGGATGCCGATATTTTATTATAACCTTGTAAATTCTTTTTCTCAAAGGCCATTTTATCTTCTGAAATAAGAAGTCGCGTTGCAATCTACAGAATCTTGACTAACATGTGTTATTCCTTTTGTTTGACAAAATACATGTGCTTATAATTAGTACTTTAGTTTGTATAAGTACCCCTGACAAAAGATTTTTGTCGTTGCTAATGATCATCTATTAATACGAATAATTGCTATCTACTCAAATTATTACCTTTATAAATTATTAACAAACATATAGTTACATATACATATATTGGTTCTCAAAACCAGCAGCTCAACCACCACCACTCTTCGCCCAATCTGAAAGAATAAATTCAATTTAAGTTCAGAATAATTTTTGAAATAAAATTAATATTAAAAATATGTTGACCAATAGGGTTCATGTTTAGTGAGAATCTTTTTACATAAAATAGAAGAATTCAAAGTATCAATAGTTAAAAACAAAAAAATATAAAAAAAAGTTTGAATCACTCTAATATAAGTATTAAAGTAGTTTACATTTATGTAGTCAACTTTATTTTGTTTTTTATTTACTTTAATGGATCAGTTCATTTGATTACTTACAATAGCTAATTTTGTCACAATGATTATTTGCTTTGAATTGGTAGAAAATATTTGTTCCAGCTAAATTAATGTAAAAAAATATTTATTCCGCTTATTAACAATTCTGCATGTATCTTTAAACAGTGGAATCTTCACTATTAAACACTATCATTAAAAGAATATATGCACCCGTGGCGGGTCCACAGGGGAATGCAAAAATGGATATTTTAATTCAAATTCAGAATAATTTAGAATTCTTATTTATATTTAAAATATATTGGATCACGGGAGCATATTTTCGTTTTTGTCAAAACTTTATATTAAAAAATGTTGGGAGAGAATTCAATACTCATTTTATTATTATTGTGTGAAGGGCATACTGTTATCCACAACATGCATAGATGAATGGCATAATGCTTCATTTAATTGAAATACAATATCTTCTAGTCAGATATAGGAGTTATAAACTCAATGGTGGTTAAGAAAGTCGCTACATTTACATGATGTTTCCAAAGTAAACGGGACTTTTTGAATCTAGCATTACTGGTTTCGCCATCTATAAGTCGACTAGTGCGTTAGAATCTGCTATCTTTATCGATTGTTCAGTGGGAATTTCATGACATTTCATTGATTGGAATTGAAGTTATTGTCAAAAGTCCGCTAAAATCAGCATTGAAATTTATGGAAATGGACAACATCTCCAAAGCATCGACTTATCGCATTTTAACCGAACATTTGGGCTTACGAAAGTTGTGTGCACGGTTTGTTACGTACAAATTGACTGACGACCAAAATTGCTCAGAATCCAACATTCGACGGACGATTATTTGACCAAAAATCACATTTTAACCATTAACCACTTCCGGTATTCCTCTGATATGGCACCGTGCGACTTCTTCCTTTTCGGAAAATTTCGTTTGCCCATGAAAAGTTATGCAGACTTAGAGGATATTCAAAAGGCTTGCACCGGCACACTGGCGGCCATACCGGCCTACGAGCTAAAATACTCGTTCAACATGATTTGACCATGCAAAAAGCTGTATTGAAGCAGAAGGAGACTATTTTGAATAAAATACATTGATTTTCCCAAAAAAGCATTTGTTCTGTTTTTGTTTTTAAGTTGGGTTTACTTTGGAAAACACCTTTTATTATGCCCTGACTCGATTAAACCATCGCATTAGGGAGTGGCATATTTGGACGTAATTTTTTTGGAAAAGTGGGCGTGGCCCCGCTCCCTACTAAGTTTTTTGTACATATCTCGAAAACTGCTATAGCTATATAAACCAAACTCTATACAGTCGTTTCTTTCAGCCATTTCCATATACAGTTCAAAAACGGAAGAAATCGGATAATACCACCTCCCATACAAAGGTTATGTTGAAAATACTAAAAGTGCGTTAACCGACTAACAAGAAACGTCAGAAACACTAAATTTTACGGAAGAAATGGCAGAAGGAAGCTGCATGCAGGCTTTTTGTTTTAAATTGAAAACGGGCGTGGCGTCGCCCACTTATGGGCCAAAACCATATCTCAGGAACTATTCGACCGATTTCAATGAAATTCGGTAAATGATATTTTCTTAACACTCTGATGACATGTACGAAATATGGGTTAAATCGGTTCACAACCACGCCTTCTTCCAATATAACGCTATTTCGAATTCCATCTGATGCCTTCTCTGTATAATATATCCATTAGGAACCAATGATGATAGCGGAATAAAACTTTACACAAATACGGTATTTGATGCGAGAGCATAAAATGCTCGGTGACACCCGAATTTAGCCCTTCCTTACTTGTTTTTTTTTTATGTTTATACTAATAAATACATAAACAAAAATGAACCATATTGGTCAACTACTTCTTGCCATTTTTTCGCTAGAGACATTATTCCATCAGTGTAAATCGGCATTTCCGAAACGAAAGCAAGCGAGCCATTGTTGAGCTACACGAACTGATACAGCATCATCTCCGTAAACTTCACAAATTGCGTGGCAATCTTCCCCTTGTTAAACAAAAATTTCAAAATATAGCGAATTTCTTCATTATTTTCCCTAATTTTTTAATAGCTGTAACTTTTTTTCAACTTCCCCGAATATAATTTTTTTCGTTAAATGAAGCTTAAATTCTCACCTTTCTAATACCCTATGTATGGCACAATGTGATTCATAGCACTGGAGATATACGACTGCAGCGGCATCTATTAACAAAATACGAAACTACTTTTTCGACTACATATATGTATGTTACTTTAAACTTATGAAGAGTACCTATATATGTGTTACGTTAAACTTATAAAGAGTGGGGCCACGGCCAATGTCTCTACCTACTACATCGATGTACTGTACAAAATTACAACTTTGTATTTTAATATGTGACTTAGTTACGAGGTGTGTTCAAAAAGTATCGCGAATTTTGTGTTTTTTCAAAAGTTATTTATTTATTCAGGAATATCTTTTTTGTCCCCTTCAAAGTAATCCCCATGAGATATTATACACTTGTGCCAACGGTATTTCCAATCTTCGAAGCACTTCAAAAAATATTTTTTTTTTTTTATCTTCTTCAGCTCCTCCTTCGATGCCGTCTTTATCTCGTCAAGAGAAGCGTAACGTCGTCCTTTCATGTGCCTCTTCAGTTTAGGGAACAAGAAAAAGTTACAGGGGCCAGATCTGGGGAATACTGTGGCTGCGGCATCATTAGTGTGTTGTTTTGGCCAAAAAGTCGGGCACAAGCAACGATGTGTGAGCAGGGTTATCGTGGTGCAAAAGCCAATTTTTGTCACATCTTCTCGGCCTTCTTAGAACATTTTGTACCACCGATAAACGTTGCTTCGGTCCAAGGTAGCTTCTCCGTATGCCACAGTCAACATTCGGAATGTGAGTGACATGAGTACCAACATAACGCCACAAAAAATTCGAAATTCGAATATACGTAACCCGCGAAAATTCAAAATTCGCGATACTTTTTGAACACACCTCGTAAAGCACTTTTTAGCTTTTAATGATATTTTGTGTGCGTGACTATCGTCTGATTTCGATTTTCAACAATATGAAATTCCCTACGGTGTGAAAGAGCACATGTTCCAAGTTTAATCAAGACATTTCACTTTTAACTGAAGTTATCACTTGCTTCAAATCATCTATATCAGTGGTTGACAAACTTATTTTGTCTACCGCCCACTTTGAGAATAAATATTTTTTTAGCGCCCCCATTTTTTCACCTATTTAAAAACCACTATAACTTCAAATTAGTTATGGTTACCTATATATGTATATTAACGGATAATTCTAAACGAAACTTTTACTATAACCAGTAACTGGAAACGTGAGCGCAGTAGCTAACATACAACGGCGTTTAGGTCTCAAGTTAACTCTTACGGGCTCCACCTGTCAATAAGAATGATTATTGAAACACAACTGTATAGTATTAAAACATAGAATCTTTTATTAAAAATTAAACTAAAATAATCGATCGATATATAAAAACTAATGTGAAGGATGAATCTGATGCTGTTTAATAAGTTTGTTAATATCAGGTTCCAATTTACTCAAGAACAGTCGCAAGTCGCCATGTTCGATAACATGCAAACGATTTCTATGATTAGTAAGCAGTGTTGTCACAGCACTAAATCCACGTTCACACAAATATGACGATGGGAATGCGATCAAGAATCATTGAACGATTGACCACAATCCAGTCCGGCACTTCCAAGTTCAAAATGTCCTGGTATCGTTCGGTGAAGTCAATGTGGAGGTTTTCCAAATGTTGGCAGTAGGCAAACAATTCGTCGACAACAATTCGGAAAATTGTGAAACTCACGTCTGCCCAGATTCTTTTTGTGTAGAAGCAGTTTGGCTGCGAAAGCAGCAACGACGTTTTTTGTTTTAATTAAATTTAGTTTATCGCCTCGTTGGAGATTCATGTCGTTGAACAATTTATACAGGTCTGTCATGTAAGCTATATCATTCTTTGATGTTATGAGCTTGTCTTCAGTTTGTTATCTTTAGTTTCCAAAAACTCTATAACAGAGTCAAACAGGTTGTAGAACCGAGTCAGACAATTGCCTCTTGATAGCCTACGAACTTCAGTATGAAACAACAAACGATTGAAATCCTCGTCATTAGTAACACAAAGCTGATGAAATAATCTATCATTCAAAGAGCTGTTGCGGATTTTATTGACTGCTTTGATGACGTATTGCAGTGATTGAAATAGTTTTTCACTTAAGTTTCTAGCAACTAAATGTTGTCTATGAATAACGAAATGTACACCAAGGACATCTGGAATTTTATTTTTTAAGTGCGCTATTAAGCCTTTATGGCACCCTATCATACCCGGAGCGCCATCCGTAGCAATTGATATAATATTTTTCAAAGGAATCTCTTTCTCATCGCAAAACTTTTCCAATACATATATTCAATATGGTTTCGCCTTTTGTGTCGGTCTCTAAATTTCTAGCAAATAATAGTTCTTCACATATTTTCTCATCTTTAATAAACCTCACGTAAGACAACAACAATGCTTCATTACTAAAGTGGACTCATCGAGCTGAATTGAGAATTTAAACTTTTCGGATAATATCTACGGCCGGTTTATGAAGTTGGCAGTATTAACTCTTCTCCTATATTATGTGGTTTGCCTTTTTGAGCAATTAACAAAGAGATATTGTACCAAGCTCGAAGTCCATCGTCATCTTGCTTAGCAGCCGCCGAAAATAGTTTTGTTACACTTGGCAGAGTATTATGCTTCTTCTCTAGGTCTTAAAAATATGCTACATTCTTGTCTCTCTTATCTGGATGCATTTTATTCAAATGACCTTACAGTCTTGAAGGCTTCATTGCTTCATTCGAAAATGTTTTTAGACATAGAAGACACAAAGCCGAGGATGGGTTTGTGGGATTTTCAATGAATTCGAATTTAATGTATTCCGCACAGTATTGCCGTCTCTTCTTTTTTACTTTCGACATTGTTTTGCTTTGAGAAATACGTTTAACTTCGCGAGTACTGTAAAGGAGGCGTAAGTAATGTTCATCTTTTGCGCGTAAAACCACAAATGAATATAAAATAAAGATTACATTGTTTATATAAGAATGCTTAAGCACAATTATTATATAGTAGTCCAAAAATATGAATTCTTATTTTTCCTAGAAAAACTTTTGTAAAAAAAGGATCTTTATCCTTTTCGTATTATTTTTCCCAGAAATACATTTGTAAGAAAGGATAAATATCCTTTTTTTATTTTCCACAGAAAATATTTAAGAAGCTCAAAAGCTCAAAACCTACCCGACGTCATTTCGCAAGTGATAAAATAAATTTTTCAAGAGCTCAAAGCATGCGCTACATCAGCTCGAACCTACATACCCTACACCTTTGCGCAAATTATTATATTGTGATAGCAAATGCCCACATTCAAATTTGGCAATGGCAATAGCAATACGTTTGACAGTTGGTATTCTATAAATTCTATCCTGTCGAGATGCCCCGCTATGAAACGGAGCGACCGATTGACATGATTTTCATTTTTTCTATATTCAATAAAATGGGACAGATATGTATATGAACTACGCGGAGAGAAATATAGAACCGAGTTTGAGCAATCTTTTAATTCATATTAGTTGATGTTCCCAAGTTGTTGCTGAGAGTCGAGAGCTCATGTAGTCGTTGTCTAAGAGGCCTCCTAGCTAACCCCCCAGGCCTCTACACAACGCCCCCATTTTCTTTCTTGGTATTGACACCTGCGGCGGCCACAAGGGGGCGTTATCGCCCACTTTGGGAAACACTGATCTAGATGTTCTAATCACTGTGGTATATATATTTATCTCGACTAACTCTAGGTAAATGAAACCAAAAAATTAGTACATTTTGACAAGGTATCAAGAAAAAATACATTTTGGTGTAACAAAACGCTTAGGAATACATGTACTATACACAAATTTTGAATAATACGTTTCGATAAAAGCTCCCGATACTCAGGTATTTTCGATTAAGTATTTGTTTGGTTTTGTGTTGCTAACATACGTTTGGACTTCGATAGAAGTAAGTAAGTTAGAATCATTGCAACTGAGAAAGAGCCGATCTCTCTAGCTGCGCTTTCGACTGACTTTTAGTTAAGTCATCTGTTATATCTTGTAATAAATATTTCAGACGCTGTATATACTATTAGTTATTTATAAGGTATTAAGGAAGAATTAAAAAATTCATTTATTGCTATGGAAAAGCTAGAATTCACGTATGAGTGTATGTCAAGATCCTTTAAAGGCCATGTGCAACCAAATATAACAGAAGTCGCAAAAATTATTTGATTTAATAGGCCAAATAGTATCTTACCGCCTATAGGCTTACTTACGAGAAGACAGTTTTCGAAGCTGGGGCCATTTTATAATATTACTTGCTAAGTGTGTATTTTACTGCTACAGTGCGTTAAGTTTCCGAAATGGCTTTTTTCACAATGAAAAAGTTTTGAACAGAAAAGATCAAATATCATGGTAATGTTTTTTTTTCGTGGTTTTTGCTAACACTGAAAAAATTTATGTTAAAAAATGTACGTACATTGCTATTAATTTCGTTAACACGCTAATAAAAAGCAAACTTAAAAGTGTATAATAAATAGATACTATAATAAGACTCAGTTTTTGGGAATTCCTCCCGCCCCTTTTAAAATTCAAAAACAAGAAAATTCAAACTAAAATTTAAAAATTCTAAATATGAAATAAAAAAGAAAGCAAAAGCAAAAAATTACGCAAATTACGTCTATAGAACTATTATGATTTGCTTTTTAATTAACAAATAAATTCTTTTATCTTTATTCCTATTTTATATGGCTACTACAATTACTCATAACTGTATACAAATAAATTGCATTATACATCAACTCTCAAATATGCTAAAAAAACAAAATAAAATAAAATAAAATAAATAAAAACTAATAATACAATGCAAATACAAAAATAACTCAAAAATAAATAGTGGCACGCGTTAGGGCGTGACGAGCAAGCCAAATATTATGAATTAGCTAGACGGGAGCGTCAATTACATATGCAAATGTATCCAGATTGGAGCTCCCGCACGAACACGTCACGGGGGAAAAAACGGAAGCGAAAGCAAGACACCAACGATGCAGGTGGTGGAGGTTAGCAAATTAATATCAATTTCACTTTCAATTTACTATTAAACAATTGATAATCAAAAACAATAGTATGTACATACATATGTATATTGCTTTAACATGTTAAAAAGGCATTTAAACAATGTCATAAAATAAGTTGGTAAATCTCGAAGGGTTGCTCATTAAAATTTGACCACTTTTCGATTTTTTAGATTTCGTTGGACTTTAATTTTTAAGCTATAAAAATTAATTGAAGTGAAGTGTTGCAGCTTAAAAACGTTCATAGCGCAAAAACCTCACCTAAATACTAATTTGGATAAAAAACATTGTACATAAATACAAAATTCTATTGTATACGTACACGCATAACTAGCTTTCAAATAAATATTATTGCTTAGCTTAAATCAATTGGATATCATGCTCTCCCAAAATTTATTATTGAACCGTTTCAGAATCGGAGCTATTGCAGTTATGCTCAAGATGGTTATAAAAGTTTTTGTTTATATTATCAGCTTATTCTCTAAAGCTATATAATAATATAAAGGATTTATATTATATTAATACTTTTTATAGATACTCGTAGCATGTTTGTAGCCATACATTATTTATGTATATTTATTTATGTATATATGTACGTAGATACAGCTTAAATCTTGCTAGTTTCTCCGCTAACAATTAATATTAATTTTAAATACTTGTCTACGTATGAATGAATGTCTGTACTTAAATCTAACATTTTTAACATTTTTTTTTTTATTTTTAATCAAGCAGTATATATTACAACACTTTTCTAATTAGTATTTATCTCTATGTACCGCTATTAGATATTACTTTTATTAATATCGATATCGCTCAAATATATTGTATACATAAACTATATACTTATAACCATGCGCTTACACTACTCATAGTAATGCGTTCCTATATATTATATTTGAGTGGTATGAATTAATAGAATTTGTGCGCATTTAGTATATATTGTTCATACGCTTTAAATTACATACATAACATTTTTTTAGCTTTTATTTAATTTCTTCTATTTTTGTATTTATTTTAAAAATACTTATACTACATCTAGGTAATAATATGAAAAAGTGCCGTGCTCGATTTGGTTTAGATCAACAGAATCAGTGGTGTAAACCCTGCAGGTATGTATACAGTATGCTCTTAGCAATAATTTAAATATGATCCATATATATATACTATACAAACCTACATACTAATCAAATATTTATTATTACACCTGTATACATATGTTTATATTATGTGGGTTAGCTACCATCATGGTATACTTTGTGTGTACTAAACCTAAAAGAAAACACTGGCCGCAGCTGTTTGCTATTAAATTTTATATATAGTATTATTATATAGTATTAAGCAAATATTTTGAATATTTGGGTTAGAAGCGTTATAGGATTTCGTAATTTTTATCGGTCCCTAACAATCTTATTTAATGTATACATATATAGACATTGATATGATATACTCAGCAAGTCACGGCTACCGAAACTAAGATCTTTGCGTAAGAAAGGATTGAACACAAGAGCTACGGTTAAAATTGTCAATTGGCAATTAAAAGGATCTCACAAACTTAAACAATGATCTTTGGCAGCGCTATTGGGTATTTAACCGGTAATTTAATTGTTAGGTGATTTGCAGGATATGTACGCATATATAGTATGTTCAACAATGTTGCCTTTTCCTTTTACGGTTAGTAGATAATTGTCGCTGACAATTTTCCTGGGTGCTGTTCTTTCAATTTCTGCCAATATTTATTGTGATACAAATTATATCTATACTTCTGTTGGGCTATTATTGCGCTGTCAAGACATTTGGTTTTATTACCTATTTAAACATTGGATTAGATGTTATTCCATAAATATTCGGGGGAATTTCAAAAATTAAAATAGCTCTCAATTATAATGTGCAATAATTTATTGATCCTATTAATGAAAAAACTTCAAACTACACATTTACGGGTATGTCTTACTTTGTTGACAAATACAATAAATTCAGTCTTGTCCTAAAAGGGTCAAGCGTTTTTGCCAAACGACCATTGGTACTAATTAAGTTTCTACGTTAAATGTTATAATCATTTCTGCAAAATTAAAGTAAAACTTTTTATTACATGTCCCAAATTTTCATACTCTGAACAGGGTATATAAAGTTTTCTGCAAAAAAGTTCCGTTATATGTTAGGAAGTTACTAAGACCATATTCAGAGAAATAAGTATC